TCCCAATTTGAATACTTCTGATTTTGTTCCCATCCCTAACTTAAAACAATTACACTCAAGGCTAAAAATAGCATTTTTTTTAAATAACAGTAAAATCCCATTATTAAGATTAACAAAATGATTGATGAATCCCATTACTTATAAAGCCAAAGCAAAAATATCTTTATTTTTAAAAAGTAATGTCAAAATGTTCTTATTGAATGTACACAGATAAAACCTGATCCACACATTGCATTTTAGTCCCAGTTTTCATATTTCACAATAAATCTAGTAACTGAGCTCTCATCCATATCAATTACAATTACACTTTTATGACCATTTTAAGACAATTTATTATACGGGCATCTTAACACAATGTATCTAACCCTTCCCTACAAATATTCTAAACAAACCTTGTTGCTATCTACCTTCACAGAAGTGATGGTGAATATTGCTGGCTCTCACAAAGATCTTTACTGAAATGTACTCAATCTGGGTTACGTTTAAGTGGGTGCACAGCTAAATGGAATAAATTGTAATTCCTGGCAGTGAATTATATCCTAAAAGAAAAGATTTAGAACAAATTGGTCCTAGGTCAATATCACACTGTTTATAGTACCTTGCCAGGATGCTGTTGAGGAATAAGAAACGACTGATAGCTTTTTTTAGGCAGAAGGAACTGCCAAATCAAACACAGTGACATTCACATCCATTCAAGCATATAAAATCTGTGTTTTTTAAATTGCTTTTCATTCAATAAATTATTTTCATACAGAGGAAAGGCTTTGAAAATATCACCCGGTTAACTGTACAGAGTAATTTTAATTTTGAATGGAAAATGCAATATAGTTTACTTTTTCAGTTCCATACACCCAGGTAAGTTATAGCACAGTTGAGATGCAGAGTAAAGCTCCTTTTATTCTGCTAACATTTTACCATAACCTAATCTCAGAAGAGCATTCCTACTGCACTATAATCATCCTTGTATATGACGTAGCACCTTACCACGTCATCAAAAGGTCTCAAAGCATTTCACGTGATTTACTATATAGTGTAGTGACTGCATATTTGTCCCACCAACAGTCATGAAGTGAATGACTTATTTTCTGACAGGGAGAAACTCCCTTGTCTTTTAAAATACAATAAACTCCTGGTCTATCTGGAATTTGTACTTTGCCGGACCAGGCCCGAAACGGAAACATTTAAAAAAAATTCTGCGGATCGTGTATAAACTCCTGCTGGCCCAACTCTCTTAGCTGACGGTCTCACCATCCATGTTGTCCTTCAGTGGCCAGGTAGATCAACTTTGACTCAATTTGAATTCCACGATCAGAGGAAGGCTTACTCGCTAACTTCTGCTGGCGGGCTTCAAACAATTACAATGTCTGTATCGGCATTTACTGGCATTTTTGGGCATTGTAATTACACTTAGCCGGAAATTCCAGCTTGCTGGATCGGATCTTTCCCCCACCCTCCATTAGTCCGTCTAGCCGGGGTTTTAGTATCGTGCTAAAGGCATCTTTAATGTCCACCTGAACAGGTAGATAGAACCTGAACGACCCACCTCCGACAATGTAGCTTTCCCCCAACAGTGCACTAGAGGGGAGTCGGGTTTAAACTTTCTAAACTCATAGACATGTAAGCAACGTAAAGTTGAGACTTTCGTCCCATCAGTATGGGCTGGATTCAAACACGCGTTCCAGAATTGGGTGAACAGCTCACTAACTGATTGTATCACCAAGTCCTCCATAAAATTATATATACAGTACAAATATGGTAGGCAGAAAACTAGACTCAAGGCTTCAACAAATTAATTTTAAAACAATCTCCTTTTGGAGCAGGCTATTGATTCAGCTGTCTATAGTTCATATAAACCTACAGACGTTTTAATTTTGTGAATGAAATATCATTGTTCCGAGGAACTTAATTCACCTGCATTATTCATAATTATTCATAATAATCCATAATTTAATTCTATTCCATTTTACAACTTTTTCTTTGCTGCTCTCAGGCCTCCCTTCGTCTCATGTGTTCTTCCTTCAATCACAGAGGTTTACCTTTACCCTGGTTTACCTTTTCACATCTACCAACTACAGACTTGCTCAATACAATGGGACAATTCACATTATTTCCTTCTGAAGTTCTCTCCATCCTACCACTCCAACAAAAAGTTGTCCGCTACCACAAGATGCTCCATCTAGTGGCCCAGCTCAAAACTGCCAAGATTTATTTTTACAAGTGGTTAAATTTGGTTAATAAATCTCTATGTTCATTTGTTAATTTCACTCTCTTTCACTCACTCTCATAACTCCCAGCATGTAAATATACTAAGAATAAGTGTTTGGCCATCGTTTGGCCATGTATGTCTTTTTATAATTTACAATATTCTGATTGTATGGGCTGGATTCCATTCAATCTGAGGTTTAGAAGTTTTGAGGTTAGAGGTTTTGTTCTACTCTTTATTATGATCCCCAAACCCTTAAGAGCCCTCACAGTTCTTCCTTGGGTATGTCTATCTGTCTGATAGATGCACAAGAGCTAGCTGATTCGTTTAGCTAGCTGAGGTGGTTACCCTCCCACGCTCATTAAGAAATTTCCTCTTTTATTGCCGGATTGTCCTGCATTTCCCTTTTGTTCACAGGGTAAGATAGGGCTTCTTTCAAACTAGCATTCTCTCCATCTGACTTTTTAAATGAATTGTATCCCCATTCTAACCACCACTATAATGGGCATAAACAGCAGTGGCAACAATGCACTTTCAGAATAAACACAGCTGTGATGGCTGTGATTATGTGAATAATGAGCTTGAAATCTGCATTATCTAAGTAGTGACAAAGAAACACCAATTACAAGTAGTGTGGTGGCTCCAGCAATTGGTGCTGATTAGGTGCTCAGGGCAACAAAGCAATGAAGTGATGTTTGCTCTGCAGTCCTTAAATGTAGCAAGGAGACAAAACATACAACACTAAACCTCTAAATCCCTGCACTGGTTTGCTCAGATGTAATAAATATAAGCAATATAATCAATTTGATGTAATGTGTAAAGCATCCTTTGCATATCCAGGTTGCTTAAGTCTAAGCCTGCCATAAATACAGATTTTATTTCAGAAAACATTCTATTTGACTCAATGAGGAGTTGGGAGCGGAGTTGACACACAGGAGCCCAAATGGTCACATTTTAGTTGAGGCACAGGTGAAGGGTCAAAGCCCATAGTGCAGTTCACTATCAACGTTAAACAAGAGTTGGAAACAAGAAGAGATAAATCAAGAAGCAGTGGTTAGGTGAAACCAAGCTTGAATTTTAAAGGCTTGTAAAATGCAAAAGACAAGGAGTTGCAGTCTTGAATTCCAAGAGCAGTGCAATGATTTTTCAACATGGTGAGGATAGGAGGAGGAAGAGTGTGTTGGACAGTGAAAGTCTAAGCTTAGGAGGGACAAGAGAGAAAAGTTCAGAGAAGAAATGACAATAGTAGTATCTAAAATAGAATAGTTTCTAAAATAGAAGACAAGAAAAGAGAAGTTAGAGGCCAGAGGTGAGAGAAGGATCACCAAGTTGTTGATGAGTCTTTTGCTTGCATTGTTTTCAATTCAAGAAAAGGTGCTACTAGAATATGGAATTTATCCTATATTTATCTTCCCTGATAATAATAATAATCCTTGCATTTGTTATAGCGCTTTTCATGTCTTTTCGATGTCTGATCTTGACTAAAGGAAGTAAATTCAACAGGATTTTCTGTTCTATCTCTGCTCTTATCCATTCATAAGAATTATGAATCCTTTGTTAATTTTGTCCCATTAGAATTCTTTTCATTCTGTGACACAAGAGCAATGCAGATTTTCCAGGAATCTTCAACTGGGAGAAACAAAGTACAAAGTATCTGCAATTTTTGTAATGGATTGATTTTAGTGGTGGCTGAATTGTTCAATAGTCATTTATATTTCCTTTCTTTTATATTTTCCCACTTTAATCATCAACTTAGCTTCCGTCAGTTCAGTGATCGAGAAGCTACACCAGCAGTAAGGCTCCACATGTGGTGAAAACGTCCTCAGTCACTTCAGAGAGTATGATTAGGTTGAAAATTCAATAATATTTACTTCCTACACTTTTTTTTAATGAGTATTCTTTTTAATGAAAACCATTTCTCTCAAAAAGAAGTTTAGAAAATAGTGCAAGAAAAAAAAGTGATGAGTCCAAAGAGCACAATTTTGCTGGTAGCATATACTAGTATAGTTGTGTTAACTTTGACTAGTGACTTGATTACATATTGGGAGCCACAGAACTGGAAGAGTTTTACCTCCTCTCTGCTCCAATGGAATTTATTAAATTGCTTCCAGTGTCCAGTCCTCTACTCTTCTAGATTTAATTAGAGTTGCATTTTCTTGGACTGTGTTATACTGTTGCTGGTTTCAGGTGAGGAATCCTAATGAAGGCTTTCCAGTACATAACATGCTTGTGCCAGGAAAGATTGTAAAGGCCAAAAACGCTGGAGCCAGTATTAAAAAATAACCAAGTTTGTTCGAAACAAAAACTGACAACATGTGCGTGTGGTGGTTATATCAACTAAGTATGGTGTAGCTAGTTTTGTAGTGACTATCATGAACTATTTCATTTTTTCAAGTAGGAAACTCCTATTCTGATTGCACAACTTTACATCTTCTGTGATGTTTATCCTCTGTGAGCTGGTACCGTTTCCACAGTGAATAATATGCAAATGGCATAAGATTCCAATCACAGTTACAGAAACTCTGTCTCAAATAGATGTGTTATTTGAAAATAAATTGTTCTTCTGCAGGAAGCATTGTATTTGGGGCCCAGCACCTCAAAAAGTTTGGAATAGCTAAATGTTTTGTTTCTCACTCATATCACACCCTGATTAAGATACTTGGGTAAAGGATGTTTCTGCAATATGATTGTAGTTCTAGCTATCGAAAGTACCAAAAGAAACAAAACGTTTCCATAGTAGAAAGTACCAGTGGCAAAGGATAACTAGATTCATTACAGATGTATAGTTAATGCTTACCTCTATAACACCTTTAGAATCCAACCTGAAGTTGAAGTCACCAAATACGAAATGAGGCACCTTCTCATATCGTTGGTCTGTAATCCTGCAGTAAGGAAAGGAAAATGGATTATAACATTGCATACATTTCTACTTGAACACCTCAGAAGGAAGTTAACTTGACAAGAACGTATTCAATAGAGACTGGAGTGAGGACAATGGACAAATGTCCTAACCTTATGGGTAACATCACAGATACAGAAATTCAATTTGAATTTTTTTACTTAAAAAAAATGAGATTAGCACAGGGCAGAGTGTGATTCTTCATTTTGTTTAGGGTTTATATCATCTGTCGGTTAGGGGCTGAGGATTAAACCATCTTTCTCATAAATTGCTTGAAGTTTTAGGTTAAATCACAGCTTCAGATTGGCACCTGGTCTAAATGGGAAATGAAAGAACAATTTGATTTCACTCAAAATGTGTCCAGACATCGAAAAGCATCAAGACAATTATTACATTATTACAATTATTACATTTCTAAAATGATATGTTCAGACAATCAATTTATTTTTCTACTTTACTTCAGTGGAGTTCCAATGTTAAATCAATTGTACTTTAATTTCCATTTTAAGCTTGCCTTCAATGTTTATGCCTTAAATAAATGAAGTTATTGGGTGATTGCAAGTTAGCAACAATCTCCCTTTTAAATGAACTTAGTCAACAACCATGTTGCATTGAATCTACAATTAAATTTGTTGAAAAGTCATTTCATAATAGTACTTAAAAAGAGGAACTGGGTGATACAGTGGGTTGTAGTTTTTACTGCAGCTCATTCCAAACAAACTTTTAAACCTTAAAAAAGCTGAACTTCTCAGGCAACCCATCTGACCACTTTTAAATTATTTTAATGTCATAATCCTATTTCTCCAATAATTTTTTTAAAAACTTCAAGTTATTCAGCACCAGTTAACAAAGCTCTGCACATGTGCAGAACGCTCCTCAGTCCTTGCCAATAATGATTCAGAATTGGAAATATAAATCCTGTTTCTCACTCCCAAATTGCTTCACTACTTTAGGAGAATAGCATTTTCATTTGCAGATTATATCCCCATTTAAAAGAAGTTATGCTTTGATATTTAAACTCTAAATGGCAACCTTCACCTTTAACGTAAATAATTTGTTGTTTTTCTATGTAAACACAATGTGTCGTAAAATGTCACTGCTTAGCAAAAAGAATAAATGAAGTAAGTGGGTGATTATTTTTTATTGAAATGCACTGCAAGACAGCAACAAACTCTTTTTAAATGAACTTAGTCAACAATCATGTCGCATTGAATCTACAAATAAATTTGTTTAAAAATCACTTCATAATAGTACTTAAATAGTGGAACAAGGTGGTACAGTCGGTTGTAATATGTTCTCCTTTCACTTCTGAGACTGGAGTACAAATCCAGCTCAGAGTAATGGGATTGAAAGTCTTTTCTCTGCCAACTGGAATGTGAAGTGAAATTCATTTGGGCTGTCTTAACCCAGCTGTAACTGCAGCTATGTTCCCTAAAGTGCCCAAATTTAGAACAAGTGGAACTTCATTGGCAATTGGACTCATGCTCGTATGTTTACTAGGTTGGCAGAAATGAGGTAGATTAAATAATGCCACCTCACTCTTGGCAGCCAAACTTCAAAAGTCCAGAAAAAGACCTTTTTTGAAGAATTTAAAAATAACATATGTCTTATATCTGGCTGCTTTATGGCTGGTGGGCATGGAGTACATGGTAGTGGGTTAAATATACACACAGTCCTTTTCCCAGGATTAAATTCCTCGCTTTAATGAGGACAAAAAAGTAAAACTAAAACAGATTACTCTAGTTAAATCCCAATTTGAATGCAAATTTAAGAGAAACTGAAAACTTTAAAGGAGTCCTCAGGCAGGTAGGAGTCTACAGTCAGGCCTGGCATCTCTATTATGCAAAATAAATAATGAACTCCACATCATTTAGAAAGAATTCTCCAGGACCATCTATCAAAGCCCGAGCCCTTGCTGCTGGGATAATGGAAGAGCTTACAGCCTTATGGTTTCCTCTCATTTCAATACTGCTCTTACCACAAGCTTGTGAGAAGTCAAAACCAGGACAAAAACAGGCCTGTCCGACAGCGCAGCAGTAAAACGACAAGAGGCCGGCAGCACCCTGATTTGCCATAACATTTCTCAGCTATTCTGTGAGGAGGATCAGTTGCCTTTTCATTTAATTGCCATGCCTAATACGGTAGCCTGTATCATTCAATTGTTCTAAGTCAAGGTATCAGCTGCAGGTCAGAAGGTAACATTTTGTTTACAAGATTATTTCCTAAAGTACTTATCTCACATTCCCTGTGAAAGTTGACTTTGCTTTTTGTAGAGAGAGAATTGGGGATAGAAAATTAGCCACAGTGGCTGGAGCTGAATGGGTTTAGGTGGGAGGTCTGAGAACTGCCTGCCGTGACACCCAGCAGGACTCCTTATTAGCTGCGTCATCACAGTTCATTCAAGCAAACCATAACAGTGTCACCAACATTCCCACACAAAGACAAAGTTCTTCACACAGTCTATAAACATGCTTCTCCTGGCCAATTCATCCCAGGCTGACAGCAGTGAAAAGATTTTAAAAATAAGCTTCGTCAAGCAGACTGAATGAGGTGACTATTCCTCAGGCTTCCTGGGAAGAGACGTTCTGGGGGTCAGCGAATAATTTATCACTGATGAGAACACTTCATTCTTCCAGCTATTCTTATCGTGTATGATTTTAGGCAAAGTGCTATTTCCCATTAAAGATTTCCAAATGCAATATGAAGCTGTTAAAAAGAGAGGGTTTTGTCAAACCTGTCACAAAATTTTATAAAGCACTCGTAACCTGGAATGTTCAAACAAAAGGCAAATTTACATACTTTCCATATGAAATAAAAGTCTTTGTAACCTCCCAAAGCGCAGAATCTAGAATAGGAGTCACCAGGAGCACTGCAAAGTAGCAATAAAGGTCACAGAAAGGTTACCGGACACAGGAGAGAATGACAGATACAGTCACACAAATAGCTTCTCTTCTGTCAGATATCTGAGTGGTGAGTTTTTGACAGTCAAGCTGAATGCTCAAAAGACAGCACTGACAAGATTTATCATTCACTCGGCCAATCAACACCTACTGACATAGCAATATACAGATCGCTTGCCATTTTCAGTGTTATTATTCAGCCTTGGAAGCAAAAGCAATAAAAGGCTTTTTCCCCCCATCTATGTTTTGGTGGAAATCACTGAATATTTTGATCAAACCTCTATGTGAAAGTTTTAAGCTGATCCAGTTAAAGCTATTCTATGTTGCAGCTGTACTTGTCAGGCTTGGCACTTTAGAAGTTATTCTAACTTTGTGTAGATCAATGATGAGCGTTGACTAGAGACCAGATTCCACCCCCAGCACCATCTTACACAAACACACAGTATTGAATATGGCAAACAGCAACTTTGTTATGATGTGATGAGTAGAGAGTATTGTTGACTGACAGTTAATCCAACCACTTGTGAAACCGAGAGCGATAGACTGACACAACCAATCCTTGAAGATATTTACTAGATTGTAGTATCATTTTGGTGAAGGAACCCAGGTTCTAATACTTGCCTTCCTCTGCCGTAACACAGCCAGCTATTATTTTGAAAAGTCACCCTGCAATCAGGGATGCCCAGAGCCTGTTAAAGTGTCAAATCAGTATTGAGCATCTCTCTCACACATTCTGAAAGTGTTGTGTGAAGGAGATTTGCTCACCACATTTTACATTTATATTCATCGAATGTTGGGAATATTTGTACCATGCACTGCCAAGGAAATGCACCAGAATGCTGGGAGGAAGACAGAAGCATGTAGTTACAGTTTCCTCAGCCACACACACAACTCAACTCGTAAGTAAGTCCAAAAAGCGTCAAAAGGTTTTACGAAGCTGTTCAACATCCAACACCAACGTTGCTTCAGAAGCAACTCTGCTCACACAACTTAGTGAGCAAAGCACTCCTTTAGGAATGTTTAACATTCATTGGTAATGTCATTAACCCTTATACCACTGTGAATATGAGTGTTGAAAAAACAGTTTAATGGTGGCTGCAATACAATGCACGTGCATGAAGTTGGAGCAATTTGATTGAGTGCTTCTAATGACATTATAAGGGAAATTCAACTGCTGTATGAACATCACTAGGACAAAGAGATTAATATTTGTTATTTTTAATGTCTGATGGGGATGACCATTTCCCTTAATATTATTAAATACCATTTGTAGCATTTGTTTAAAACAGTTTCCAGCAGGGGGCATGAAGTGCCATGGAGGCAGCATGCAACAAAGGCAAAAAGTAATTAAACAGAGAGTGACAAGTTAGCTAAATGCTTAAACATCTCATGTTTGGTACTACAGACACCCCCGTTCTTTCAGCAGTCGATTATTGGAAGATGCAGTACTCTATATAATATGAAGCATCATCAATTTTAACAGACCAGCCCATTACCATGTTTATTTGTTAGAAATGATTCAGCAGATTGCGGCCTGTGTGCTTTGAGATTGGTGGGTCAGATCTCAATGCAGATTCAGATTTATGTTAAATGACTGAACTACAGCAATCTTTTAAACCCAAAAGATTTAACATTCATTGGTAATGTTAATAGGTTACCACGTAGCTGAGACCAGATCACTGGACTCATTTAAGATAAAGCTACGTGCCTAATTGGAAGACAGCTGGTTGGTATACTGGAAGGAACAGATCAAATGAGCTAAAAAGGGTTCTTCAATCAGAACAATCGTGTTATGGTGTAATTGCAACACCAGAAAAACCTTAGCTGTTGCAAGATTATCATCCCTGGCGCTCAAGCAAAGCCAGGATTCACTACAGCATTTTCAACTTTTCACCTTGAATCTTACAAGCTATGATTGAACATCAAACTATTAACCCTAGACTTCTGTTCGTATTTGCCATATGAAATTAGACTAAAACAGTGTTTGATGCCAGTGGTTTTGTGCCACTATATTAACAAGCCATGACTTCAATTATTAGTTCGGATATAAATCCACCATGCACCGAGCCCAGTACAGTTTTAC